CCTTATTAAAATATCCGCCCTAGATCGCGGACTCACAATAACCAAGCACTCATGAACAAGAATTAGAACTTTGAATAGCTGAGGAAATAATAATATATTGTCTTGATATTCGTGTTATAGTATCCCTAATGAATAATCAGACCCCCTTTATATAGTATGAGAGTTTTACCCTAACCACAATTCTATGAAAGGTAAAAAATCTTCTGTTTAACCAATCACTGGTTCTGTGCCGATAAGTGCCGTGATATCCGGCTGGTCACGGATATCATGGCCTTTTGTTGGTCGTGCTCAGTTACCTGGTAGTGTTCCCCGAGGCCATTGGGATTCAAACCGAACTTGGGGTCATGGCCCCGATACTCCCAGGCCGGGTGCTTTGCCCAGACTCCGACTCGAGGGGCTCCTGGTCTCGATTCTTGTTCCCTGCCGTTACGTCTCTTGCTCCGTTTGCTTCATCGGAAGACGATGCCTCTCATGGGCTCGGTTTTACCCGTATACATATACAAATATATAAAATATTTAAAAGACAAATAATATGTACCAGAATGAGTATATTATTGAAACTTAGACAAAGGCAAAAAGTAAGGATGAAATTCAAGTCAAAGCTCGTGAAATCTGGTCTCTTCACCAACCCCCTCTATTTTAAAAAAAAATAATAAAATCTTTTTCCCACTACACCAAGTCACCACCAACCCTCTAATGACAAAAAGGTATAAACGGGCAATAGCTTATCTTGTGATTGTTGGTTAGCAAGACTTGACGAAATCAATCAAGCATGCTTTACTTTAATTTATTTTACCAAAATTTATTGCTTATTTCCTCATTTTAAATCATCCATTCATAATATGATTACTTAGTTAATTAAGCCTATCAACATGACAAATCACAACTTTAAATAAGCAAATGCAGGCAACAATATAAATTTTTCTGCTGACTGCTGACCAATCTTGAAGAGAAGCAAATTTTCAAATTTGATCCTAACAAGAAAAGATAAAGATTCGAGGAAATTTCTTTTCTTGACTTGCACAAAATTTCATGTATTGACTCACTCGCTCGTAGAGTAATTATTCCTTAAGATAAAAAAAATAAAAATAAAAAGAGTGTATCCGGAGTAAAAAGATCATTAAAAATAATAAAACCAAAAAAAATGATAAAAGTTATATACAATAGCAGTTTTTGAATTTAATCAAACAATTTGGTACAATAATTAAGAAGCCGTTGAAGTGAAAAAGAATGAAGTCAGAAAGAATGGCGGACGAATTAATTCAGGATGCTGAGTTCACATCTAGGTTGCATTTGGTACGAGGGAAGAAAATAAATCATTTTTTGGTGTTTAGTTTTTAGCGAAAATATTTTCTACCAAAATATTTCCTAGCTCATTTTTTGATGGAAGTTATCCTTCTTCACAATTATCTCTAATTTTCAACTTTATATTATTGCTTTTACCAACACTCATATATTATTATCAAATTTTTAGTACTAAAAAATTTCATCAAAAAACTATATATTTGCTAATATTATCCTCATCTATCTATAACACTAAATGTTTCTCCGAAAAATAATTTTCATTCTCTAACTAAATACTAGAAGTATATTTTTCAAAAAATAAATCATTTTTCAAAAAATGATTTTTATCATACCAAACGTATTGAACTTACTATCACGTATATATCTCAGCCTTCACGAGTGGTTATCTCTTGATCAGGGTGGGTAGGTAGCTTCTTATAAACATTGTTCACCTACGAACAATGAATTTAATTGGTCAAGCTGAATTAAAATGAACCAAAATTTTATTTGTTCTCTTTAGTATATCCTTATATGGCATTTCTTCTTTCATATAAACTATTGCATAATAATATTAAGCTTGTCCTAGTCAAACTTTATCACTTATCCTAATTGATATACTATTATATATGCTCCTAGAATTGTTAGATCAATTTTCTTTTAGTAGATCTGAGACAAAATCTAAAGTTGGCAAAATTGAATGTTATAAAAGGTTTGAGAGGGATAAACTTGATATTTTGTACAAATTAATTGGGCAAAGAAATGGAAAAGTACGACATAAACCTAAAGGTTGGTAGGAAAAATAAGTTTTACGTCCATATTTTGATCTTTGGTTGATAAATTGTAGCAACCAATCGTCCAGCTTATATTATGTGTGCCCGCAGTGATAGAGACACTCTTTAATGAGAGGTATCGCCTGCTTCGCAAAACAAAACAAAACAAAAGGAATTTTTTATATATGTTTGTAAATAATATTTTCTAAAAACCAATAATATGAGGTTACACCTGTAAATAATAGTAGCAAGTATAATAAAAAATAAATATTGATTTTGAAACAAAGAGTAAAATTTTAAGGTGAAAATAGCACGGACTAACCAGTTTTCGGATTGGTAATTGAAAAATAACCAGGGTTTACAAAGTCATTGAAAAATAGCCACTATTTTGCTGCAACACAGAAAGTTCTAGCATAATATACTGGAGATTATATTGGTGCACTTGTGTATGAACTTCCTGCATATTATGTTGGAACTCCAGCACACGGAAAGTTTCAGCATCATAAACTAGAGATTGGAGTACCTGTGTATGAACTTCCAGCATATTATGCTGGACCAGTATATTATGCTGGAACTCCAGTATATTAAGTTGGAACTCCAGTATATTATGCTGCAAGTTCACATGTATAAAATTCAAATTCCAGTATATTATGCTGAAATATTTTTTGGAGTTTGAACAGTATTTTCGTTCAGATTTATCTTTACATGAAAAGTGGCTAAATTTCAAAAAAATTTAAAACTGTAACTATTTTTCAATTACCACATGTAAATATGACTATTTTTGAATTTCACAGGCCATCATAGTCGCAAATCCAATTCACTTAATTACGAGACAAATTTCAACAATTAATCGACACTATTTATATAACATCTTTCGTACGACACAACCCCAATATAAACAAAACAAAAAATTGCGTATATACGATCAGTATGTACCGCGTGTTTTTCTGGCAAAGCAACAAGTAAAAATTTATAAAGTTTTGTACTACGGCAACTCATATTTTATTGTTAATGAAATGGTAGGTTGAGTCAATAAAGAATGTAGCTCGATGTCTGTGAACTCCCTCATCTTAATATGACGTAGTTTGACTTAGATATCGGGTTTAAGGAAAAAAAGAAGACAAACAAAGAAAGCTTTTTAAAATTTATGGTCTTAAAAGTTATAAAAGCTTTGTGGAGTCATAATATATGTGTGATTATAAACAAATTTCAATTAATGAACAAAATAAAAAATTTAAAATTAAATTATTTTAAAAAATAAAAATATATCATTCCTTTTAAATGAACTAATAAGAAAAAACTATCATATAAATTAAAACTATGTTTTAACAATTTTACATTGTTAGTGTAGCCACACCCTCGTACCCTACATTATCCCAATTATAAAATGTCAAACATGAGAGTACATGACCAAATTTATATAAAATTTTAAGTCAATAAATATACTGTACTTGTCAAAATAATTAAGTCGAGAACAGTAATTTCAGTGATATTCGTAGTCACAATGTAACTATATTTAATTTACTTTCTATATAATTTCATAATCTCTTGCTTCTTCTTTTTCTTTTCTGTAGTTATTGGAACTTATCCATAATATAACTATTTTACTACTACTAGAGTTACTCGAAGTACTGTACAAACATGCCTCTTAAATATTACTGGCATCTACATTTGAACATTATTAAAACTATAGAAAGTAATTAATACTCAAATTTTGGACAATAATAACTATTTGCATTGAAATATTTATCAACAATTTGTGTGCAGTTTCATGTATAATACATGCAAATGATCTTTTTATTAAAATTTCAATCTAACGACTCCAAAATTATTCTAAGTATAATTACTTTCATGGTTTAACTGCTAGACTGATACTCCTATAATAACCACGCAGAGTTGTGTGAGATCGTTAAATCCATTCGTCCAGTTCGAACTCGGGAACGAAGAACCTCTTGGTATATTTTCCCCCTTAGTTGGCCTACTTGCGTATTTGATTGAATTTGTGAATTTCGGATACTTGGTGCATAAAGAAAAATAAACCTTATAATAAATAGATTAAAAGTGTACTACCGTATATTGCTTATCTGAAAAACTTTAAGATTCCGAGTTACCATCAAGAGAGTTGAATGAATAAAGATCTTCAACTAAATAGTACACCAAAATTTAGCTTAATGGAATATTCATTTTGTCCGTGCCCACAAAAGTGAAAATAATCACTCTTAAAACATCCCATTTAGACGAAAAGTCAAAATTATGGAAATTATTTTGCCTCACTTTTTGTGACGTTTTTCACGTATTCCTCAAATGTGAAATGACGTGTTGCTTTTGTTTGAGTCCTTCCCAACAACCACGCCCAAACCCTTTCTTTCCCTTCCTCTTTGACTTGAACAAACATCCTTTCCTTTCCACCTTCATTTGCACACGAATACAAGTTTATATATAGTGAGGGAAATAATATTATACGTTCCCTTGACATAAAATTTATATATATATATATATATGTATATATTTATTTATTTATTTATTTGATATCTGTAATATAATTCATTGAATCAACTAATCCGAATTAACGTCGCAATGTAGCTCATTATAGTAAGAAGCATTTTTTAATAAAAGTTTTTTCAGCTCGTGCCACTGACGTAAATTTGCTATTATTGTATCTACAAACATAGTCGTGGAAACAGCCACTAATACTTGCATTAGGTACGCTGTTTACATCACACCTTTTGGGTGCGACCCCTTCCTCGAAACCTGTGTGAACGAGAGATATCTTGTGCACCGAACTGTTTTTTTTTTGTACATACAAATATAAATTCTTGAACCGCTTAAAAAAATTAAAAGAGGGTTGGTGGGTTCTTTCTTGGTGGATCTTNTAAAGTCCAACACTCTAATGACAATATATCTTCCCATTCTATTTAAACACGCACATTTTGGCTCAACAAACTCAGGAAATTCAGCTTAAGCTAATACTCATAAGCTTTGCAATTTCCTAACTCCACCAATCAAATAAAGATAGAGCAATACAGTCATATATACATGCACCTATAGCCCAATACTATTCATCAAACATCACATATAGTTTTCTTTCCTAACCAATTAAGTATTTGTCCAAAACATTGAGAGTTTGTTACCCTTTACATAACAATGGAGTATGCCAATGGAAATTGTAATGGTCATAATAATGCTAGTCAAGAATTATGTATTAAGGGTAATGAACAACAAGACCCTTTGAATTGGAACATGGCAGCTGATGCACTCAAGGGTAGCCACCTTGATGAAGTCAAGAAAATGGTGGAGGAGTTTAGGAAGCCGGTGGTTCAGCTAGGGGGTGAGACGCTAACGATAGCTCAAGTGGCCGCGATAGCAGGCAGGTCGGGCACAGAGGTGATGGTGGAGCTGGCGGAGGCAGCCAGGGCGGGCGTCAAGGCCAGCAGTGATTGGGTCATTGAAGGCATGAAAAATGGGACTGATAGCTATGGTGTTACTACTGGTTTTGGTGCTACATCACATAGGAGGACCAAACAAGGTGCAGCTCTACAGAAGGAGCTAATAAGGTAAACACAAATTATTATCACTACATGTTACGTACGTACCTCATGTCACAATCTTGGTTACCTAGTCTAAAAGTTCTCGCAATAAGTTTTACGTTTACGTGACATAGTTACTATTTTGCGAATTAGAAGAGTTTTTTTCGTAAATTTTTATGTGTTTTTTTAATATTTTACATTGTTAATTATTGTGACTTATAATACTTGTTATGTACTTTTTAAATTAAAAAATTTATTTAAAATAATTTAAAGATTCTATATCCTAAATATTCACAGTGAAGATTAGATAGTTTGACTTTCGTACTGTGAATCGTGTCACATAAAATGAGACTGAGGGAGTACAGTATTTAGTTAGTGTTTGGAAGAGTGAAAACGATATATATTTTGAATATACATAATATTTTGAATTTGAATTTTATATATTCATTGACAGTGTAATGATATTTATATTATCGATTGTAGTTTAATATATGATAGTAGATTAGATCAGAGTTACATAACTTTTCATTACCTTATAAATGACTTAATTGAATATATGTTTTTCAATATTAATACATAAAACTTAAACTCTACACTTTTGGAGGTACGTCTCTATGTCCAGCTTGTCTTTTAAAAACTAGGTGGCAAGGCATGGAAAGAGATGGGGGGTAAAAGTCAAGAAAAAGAAAACAAAGATGCCTTTATATTTCATGGATTTTTCTTCCAAATTTTTTCACTCACATAAGTCGAATTATCAAGTTTATTAATAGAGTATTAATCTTCGTTGAAAATAATTATGCTTTTGCTTTCGTGCAATTCTTCACTTTTCCCACTTTTTTCTCAACCATGCTTTTGGGGGTTATGCCATTACTAACTGTTGAAACTATATATATATATATATATATTATTTTCTATGCTGGTGAGTAGAAATGGTGGAGTTGTTAATATTAAAAAAATGAAGTCTATATCACTAACATGAATCATGATAGGTTTGTTTGCAGATTTTGAAAAGTATATATATATATATATATATTATTTTCTATGCTGGTGAGTAGAAATGGTGGAGTTGTTAATATTAAAAAAATGAAGTCTATATCACTAACATGAATCATGATAGGTTTGTTTGCAGATTTTGAAAAGTATATATATATATATATATATTATTTTCTATGCTGGTGAGTAGAAATGGTGGAGTTGTTAATATTAAAAAAATGAAGTCTATATCACTAACATGAATCATGATAGGTTTGTTTGCAGATTTTGAAAAGTATATATATATATATATATATTATTTTCTATGCTGGTGAGTAGAAATGGTGGAGTTGTTAATATTAAAAAAATGAAGTCTATATCACTAACATGAATCATGATAGGTTTGTTTGCAGATTTTGAAAAGTAGATCCAGACACGTTATGCAAGTAAAAGGAAGCCCTTTCTCAATCCTTAATTAAATTCAACTTAATTTAGCCCCCAACTAGGAGTGTTAATAGATATTTAAAAATCGATTAAATCGATCAAACTATACCGTACTGAATCGATTTTTAGTTTTTTTTAAAAAAAAAAGAAAATCGTAGGTTTTTATATAAATCTACAACCGTACTGATAATTAGGGTAAGTTTTTTATTTTATGAAAATAAACCCAAAAAAATATCGAACCGTACCGAATAAATTTACATGTGAAAAATATATTTATATACTAAGTTTAAAAATAATAAAGCATTAAATTTTTCCTTTAACCTTTGAAATTATAAAAATGATTACAAGCCAATAAGTAATTAAAGTCAAAATCCTAATTCCCAAACCTATTATGTTACTCCTACTGAAACTAAATTATTTCTAGCATATTCACTAACAAGACGCAAAGAATTCTAGCGATTATAAGTAGCAAACTACAATGTATGGAATATGTTTCCTTTTGTATGATTTAGATTTATCATTTTGAATATTTAATCTTCTATAGACTTTATTTTTGAGTCCCAACTTGGTTAATATCTTTCTACTCGTGTGATTTATTTTTTCTTTGTCTTTGTTTAGTTTCTTTTACGTTGTTGTAGAGTAGTTAATGGATCTATACTATGACCATCTTTCATGTTTTCTTAATTCATCACCATTTAAACAGTAAAACTGTCTAGAGAGTTTTGCTAAGTCCAATAAAAGTATGTATGTTATTTTATTTTACTTTTACTAGCGACTTTTACATGACATTTAAAAAAATACCGAAAATTAACCGAACCGTACCGATACCGATACCGAAGAGAAACTGACATGATTGAGACGGTTTCGAAAAGTTTAATTTTGGTTATACATAATAGAATAATCGAAAATTTGGTATGGTACAAATTTTATAAAATAACCGGCCTAACTGAACCATTGACAACCATACTCCCAACAAATCGAATTATTAATTAACCAGAAAAAGTGTTGACGTTGTAAACATCCCAAATGAATAGCCCATACGGACGTGATCACTCCATGAAAGCCTTTATACATTATGGTTCAAAGTTGCTTTTGCTTTTTCTTTTTTTGCCTAATAAATGATAGCTGCAGATTTAGGTCTAATTTTGTCTAAAAAAATGGCATTTAATAGATGGAACATCTGTCTATTTGATCCACAGATTTGTTAGGGTCCCAACCATTAAACCATAGTAACGTTATTTACAAGAGAGACTCTCTCAGACACAAGATATTCCAACTCAACTTTTAATAATTTAAAGAAATAGCCTAAAATAACAAAGAAAAAGCCCCCAAAAATATACTCCATTATATTATGTAACAGGATTTGTTTGCTTTTTAAGGGAAAATTACGTTTTTGGCTCTGATTTTGATCGGTATTACTCTTTTAATGGTTTAAAATGGTCCAACACTAGCACTTTTACTAAAATTTGAGGGAAAATTTACCCGTATTTATTATTCTTAGTGCTTTAATACATTTCAAGTGCACAGGGAAACTATTTATAGATTAGCTAGTACATATTTTTTTCTAAATTATAAACTAAAAATCTCAACTTTAAGATAATTCATGAATTTTTGTCTAGAAAAAGTAAAATGAAAAACTAAAATTCATGACCGCACCGATTAATTCCTAAATGACACCTCTTTAAAGTGGCTACGTGGTGTCATTTCTACAGCTTAATTTTGTACGTCAACTTAAAGCTGATTTGCTAAATGGAATGTCATCTGAACCAGGTTCTTGAATGCCGGAATTTTTGGCAATGGGACAGAGTCTTGCCACACGCTGCCACACTCCGCCACGAGGGCCGCCATGCTAGTGAGGATCAACACCCTACTTCAAGGCTACTCCGGCATAAGATTTGAGATCTTGGAAGCTATAACAAAATTGCTCAATAATAACATCACCCCATGTTTGCCTCTCCGTGGCACAATCACAGCATCTGGTGACTTGGTACCACTGTCCTACATTGCTGGGCTTTTAACGGGCCGGCCCAATTCCAAAGCAACTGGGGCTAATGGAGAATTATTGGATGCTGTCATGGCGTTTCAACTGGCCGGTATAGACACTGGATTCTTTGAGTTGCAGCCCAAAGAAGGCTTAGCTTTGGTTAATGGCACTGCTGTTGGTTCTGGTTTGGCTTCTATGGTTCTTTTTGAGGCTAACATTCTCGCTGTTCTTTCTGAAGTTTTATCAGCTATTTTTGCTGAAGTTATGCAAGGAAAGCCTGAGTTTACAGACCATTTGACACATAAATTGAAGCATCACCCTGGCCAAATAGAAGCTGCAGCTATAATGGAACATATTTTAGATGGAAGTTCCTATGTTAAGGAAGCTAAGAAAATCCATGAAATGGACCCTTTACAAAAGCCTAAGCAAGATCGTTACGCTCTACGTACATCTCCACAATGGTTAGGTCCTCAAATTGAGGTCATTAGATCAGCAACAAAAATGATTGAAAGAGAGATTAACTCAGTTAATGACAACCCTTTGATTGATGTTTCAAGAAACAAGGCATTGCATGGTGGAAATTTCCAAGGGACACCAATAGGCGTATCAATGGACAACACCAGGCTAGCACTTGCCTCAATTGGGAAACTTATGTTTGCACAATTTTCTGAACTTGTCAATGACTATTACAACAATGGATTACCTTCAAATTTGACCGGGGGGCGGAATCCTAGCTTGGATTATGGTTTCAAAGGTGCTGAAATTGCTATGGCATCTTACTGTTCTGAACTCCAATTTCTTGCAAATCCAGTGACTAACCATGTCCAAAGTGCTGAGCAACACAACCAAGATGTAAACTCTTTGGGCTTAATCTCCTCAAGAAAAACAGCTGAGGCGGTCGACATTTTGAAACTCATGTCTTCTACTTATCTAGTAGCACTTTGCCAAGCCATTGACTTGAGGCACTTGGAAGAAAATCTCAAGGCTTCAGTGAAAAGTGCAGTGAGTTTAGTGGCCAAGAAAGTGCTGATAACTGGTCAAAATGGAGGGCTTCACTATTCAAGATTCAGCGAGAAAGACTTGCTCACAGCGGTTGATAGAGAATATTGTTTTGCATATGCTGATGACCCCTGCAGTGCTAACTATCCACTAATGCAAAAGTTAAGACAAGTGTTAGTGGACCATGCCCTATTGAATAGTAATGAGGAGACGAATTCTAGCACTTCAATTTTCCATAAAATCAGTGCATTTGAGGAAGAATTGAAGATTGTTTTGCCTAAGGAAATTGAGAGTGCTAGATGTAACTTGGAGAATGGGAAGCCAGCAATTCCTAATAGGATTCAAGAATGCAGGTCATATCCATTGTACAAGTTTGTGAGGGAAGAATTAAGGACTAATTATTTGACAGGCGAGAAAGTCCAATCACCTGGAGAAGAATTTGACAAAGTATTCACTGCTATGAATGAAGGGAAGTTGGTAGATCCATTGCTTGATTGCTTGAAGAAATGGAATGGTGCTCCTCTTCCACTTTGCTAGAGAAAAAAGTGGGAAAAAAAAGATAAAGTTATTGGCTTCACAATGTAGGTACATTACTTTGTAAGTTTATTTTTCTAGTTTGAGAACTTTTATGGGTTTGTAAGAAAAATTGTGACTCTTAAACTTATTGATGATATTTGATATTTGTATCTTGTTTTTAGCAACTGTATTTAAATTTTTGGGACTTAAAACTTATTGATAATATTTGTATCTTGTTTTTAGCAACTGTATTTAAACTTTTGTGACTACACAAAAAAGTTACTTCAAACTTGTGTACTCCCTCGTGAACCTTAGGTTGAAAGTAGTGATGAGTTAGAACACAGGTCAGGGTCCAATATCAATAGCCAACAACAGTTCATAATAACATAATGAAAGTAATAAAAGAAGTAGCTTAGAGATAAAATGCTCAGTTAATTCACAGTTTCAGGAAAATAGACATGCTTTTCAAGTTTATTAGTGAAAACTCAAATCCTTTATCAAAATCACCAAATTTATGAGTAAGTTTGAAAACTGTGATTTCCTCCCAAAACTTTTCAACAGGTAAATGTTTCATTTTCAAATGGCATGGAGAAAATACATCTCTATGCATGTATGTCAATATGTATGAGAAGTCATGAATGACGTGATGCCGTACAACATGAGAAAAATATATCTCTATGCTTGTATATCAAGTGTGCATGTCGAATGCGATGCAAATCAGTGATAAAACCATATGCATACTCTCACAGTATCAATTCACTCAGTCCTCCCAGTCACTCAGTCCTCACAGCCACTCAGTCCTCACAGCTACCCAATCCTCCCAATCACTCGGTACTCGCACTCGGCACTCGTACTCAGTAGATACATGCGATCACTGGGGTGTGTACAGACTCCGGAGGGGTTTCTTCAGCCCAAGCGCTATAACAAGCCAATCATGGCATAAATCAACAAAATATGCTGCAGTGTGTAGCCCGATCCCATAAATAATCAATATCTTCAGAATCAAACCCTCGGCCTCGCTCGGTCATCAATCTCTCCAGTCTCTCGGGCTCACAATGCCATGCAAAATAAGCCCAAAAATAATGATGTGATGTATCAATAAATGGTGACAGAGACTGAGATATGATATGCAAATAAATGCGTATGACTGAGTATGTAATTGCAATGTAAGAAAATAACTCAACAACAACAATTACCTCGGTGGATCCCAACAGAATAAACATGTGGTCTAGACATGGTTACAGCTCAAAAACTCTAGTACGTAGAGATTTTATAGTTACAGATAAGATCAGGTAACTACACAGTACCACAAAAATAACTGAGTCATATTTCACACGGTGCACGCCCACACGCCCGTCACCTAGCATGTGCGTCACCTCAACACCAAATACATAACACGTATAATCAGGGTTAATACCCTCAGCTCCTAAGTTTAGAAGTGTTACTTACCTCGCATAAGCCAAATCCAATACCGAGCAGGCCAAGCGATGCTCCAAAAATACCATCCCGTGCGTACCGACCTCTGGACGACTCGAAACTAGCCAAAAGCAACTCAAATACATCAATTAACGCTAAAGGAAACAAACCCAATCAATAAAGATCGAATCTTTAATCAAAAGTCTAAAATCGACTCAAAATCCCAACCCAGGCCCACGCCTCAGAACTCGATGAAACTTATAAAATCCGACAACCGATTCAATTACAAGTCCAACAATGCTAGTTTAACTCAAATCCGACTCCGAATCGACATTCAAAACTCAAAACCCACTCTATGAAGCTTTAGGCTAAAATCCCCAAATTTTCTATTTAAAACTCATAATCCAATTACTAAAAATAAGATAAAATCACGAAATATAATCAAAACCGAGTGTAGAATACTTACCCCAATTCTTATGATGAAATTTGCCTCCAAATATTGCCTCAATCCGAGTCCCACATCACAAAATATTAACAAAACAACCAAACCCTCGATTTAAAGGCTTTTGTGGAGCCATTTCCGCTTTTGCGGACACATAAGCCGCATCGGCAGCGTCGCTTCTGCGACACAAGCTCCGCTTCTGCGGACTCCAATAGACAACTGACCCCTCGCACCTACGGATCTCCATCCGCTTCTGTGCAACTGTAGGTGCGAAACCAAACGCGTGTCTATCTGCGCTCAAGCTCGCTCTTGTGCCCAAGACCCTCGCTTCTGCGGGGCTGCAGATATGCCCGAGCTTCCGCTTCTGTGATCTTCCTTGCCCAGGTCTCACCTCGCTTCTACAAAGAAGGCCCCGCATCTACGATGTCGCTTCTGCGACCAATTGTCCGCAGATGCGACCACACCAGAACCAGCAGCCTTAGCCACATGCAATATGCGACGAAATGGTTCGAAACTCGTCCGAAACTCACCCGAGCCCCTCGAGACCCCGTCCGAATATACCAACAAGTTCTATAACATAATACGGACCTACTCGAGGCTTCAAATCACACATACCAATATCGAAACGACGAATCGCACTCTAATTCGAACTAGAATGAACTTTGAACTTTCAACTTCCAAAACTCGCGCCGAAACATATCAAATCAACCGAGAATGAACCCAAATTTTGCACACAAGTCCCAAATGACATAACGAAGCTATTCAAATTCCCGCAACCACAATCCGAACACGATATCATCAAAGTCAGCTCCCGGTAAAACTTATGAACTTTCCAAACCTTCAAATTTCCAACTTTCGTCGTTTAGCGCCGAATCCTTCTAGAAATATCCAAATGCAAATCCGGGCATACGCCCAAATCCAAAATCACCATCCGGACCTAACAAAACCATCAAAGCTCTGTTCCGGGGTCAAATTCACAAAAGTCAAACTTGATCAACTCTTCCAACTTAAAGCTTAAACCATAAAATTCATTCTTCCAAATCGATTCCGAATAACCTGAAAACCAAAACCGACGATTTACATAAGTCATAATACATCATACGGAGCTACTCATGCACGTAAACTAACGAGCAAAGTACAAATGCTCAAAACGATCGATCGGGTCGTTACATGAGAATAAGAAAATCACTTCATCAAGTTTAATTATCTTTCATTGGCCCTACATTTTGGTTTAGGTAGCTCTTGTTTTGTTCTTGACTTCTGCCCTTTCATTTGTGGCCATTAGTTTGATTTTGCCGGCCCTATTGCCTCAGGATTGTTGATGAGACAGATATGTAAATACATGTTTTTAATCTTTTGCTTGTCAATATTAATGCATTTCAATTGTGACTAAGTCTTGGTTAGCTGACAAATCCCCTTCTTGGGTTGGTAGGTGAGAAGAGAGATAGTGATATTTGTTCTAATTTTTCGGCCGCTAATTTAATCAACTTGTTGACAAAAAAGTTGGTAAGTACATGAAAGTGAAAAAATAATAAAATGTTCTAATTTGCAATGTTAATAAATCCTGAACTTTGAACAGGAGAATTGGGTCACATTTTAATAATGAGAAGAATATTCCTAGGAGTACTAGTTAGGAGTAAAAGATATAAATAGTAGTACTGCAATGCTTGCAAACTATTTTTAGGATTATATTCTGAATCAGAGATGATATTATTTAAATAAAAGGACATAAACCTTTAGTACCTAATTCCTTTTAGTAGGCATTTGAACATACAAAAAGGAAGTGGTTAAAAATTAACTCTTTACCATTCGAATAGAAGGAAAAAACTCTGCAAAGATCTCTTTGCGTTTTAATGGTTCAACGTAATCTTTACGGAGTATTTGAATAGAAGAAAATTGACACCGCAAAGATCTTTTGTATTCTATATTCAAATCTCTTGTACATAAAAATAAAGAACTCCTTGAAAGATTTGACATAAAACTAATAAAAATTTTGTAATGGGCCACAAAATTTTGTAAACTATGAAATATTATTGAGCAATCTACGCTAAATGCCCATGAAACATAAATTTATTACCATTCTTTACTCATTTTTAAAATAATTACAAAACATACCCACCCCATTCAAACTTATTATCGGATCGTCCATCATAACTCTAGTCCTTCGGTCACAAAAGACTCATAAAGCCAAGCTGACAGACGTTCCTAGTTATTCTTTGGTTAATCAACCAACAACAAAGTAACTTTCTTTAAATTCTAATTTTTGTGCAAGATTGTTGGTTTTGGAAATAACTAAACTTTTTCTTTATTTCTCTCCCTCTTTATATCGGTTTCAGTTTTAAATTCAGTATTGAATTAACTACTAATTTATTTAGTATTTGAATTAGCTGAGCACATAATTCAGTTATGGCAAAATATCAAACTAAAAAAAAAAGAATTTAAACTCCATGTGTATAAGTTTAAAATTTCATATGAATTTTCATGTGGGTTTTGAAGTGTTTATTGTTGGAATTTAGTGGGTATTTGTCACGACCCAAAATTGATTAAAGGTCGTGATGGCGCCGGACACCGCTGTCAGGCAAACCAAAAATAAATACTAAATTTGGTTCTCATTTTAATATTTTTGAAATCATATTTCCTTCAATTAAATAGTAAAAGATGGAATTTACATAGTAAATAATAATATTTGTAACAATTTCAATACAGAACAACCCATAATCACCCCAAAACCCGGTGTCACAAGTACGTGAGCCTCAACTAGGAATGAAAAATAAAATACAACATTTGTCCGGAATACACATTCGGACAAGAGAAATATAAATACTCTGAAGGAGACTCTGCTAGCTGCGGACTCGTAACGTGGAATGCATCTCACCTAAGTTCTCGCAATAATCGCGCCTCTGCGCCCACAAGGCCACTAGACATATATGCACCTGCACAAAAATGTACAACAAGTATAGTATGAATACGTAAATCAACGCGTACCCAGTAAGTATCCCGCCTAACCATGAAGAAGTAGTGACGATGGGGCCAACTTCGACACTTACTAAGGGCTATAAATAAAATGTCAATGATATAATTAAGCATGGATTACGTAGAATGACTGTAAGCTCAATATCATGAAATAAGTAAACAATTCTTTTGTTCATAAGTGTCATGACTCAAAATTGATTAAAGGTCGTGATGGCGCCGGACACCGCTGTCAGGCCTACCAAAAAAAAAATACTTAACTTGGTTCTCATTTTTAATATTTCTAAAATCATATTTCCTTCAATTAAATAGTAAGGATGGAGTTTACAAAATAAATAATAATATCCTTAAAAATTT